TCGTCAGTGCAACCTTCCCATCTTAACCTTAGAAGTCATGGCGGCTAAAAACTCCGAACAGAGTGATATTCTCAACCAGTTTTATTACTTACGAGAGCTGAAAATGTATTGAAATGTTGTGATATAAATTGATTTGTGTGTGGTACACATTTATCAATCATCAGTGATCAATATTTTCCTTATTTTTTGTGTAATATTCCTTAATTAATTATTTATTTGCGTGATAGGCCGAATGAAAGGACTAGACCCACATTACATACCGTAACCCTATATGCGAAGATTCATTTTTCCGTCGTATTGTATCACAAATCAAATCGGATAACATCGTAAGACTTTTCAAAGTGAATTTGTTATTACAGATTAAATCGCATATGATGTTAAATCTACTCGTTTAAAATTAAATTAAAATTTGGACCTATATGGCCTCCACTTTTGTACGTATAACCCATTTCTTTGCATTCTATACGATTTGTTGGTTTGTATATATGTTTGTATATCGTGAAAACAACTTTGAGTATACGTGCATTCTGGTTGTCTGGGCACTGCTTCCGGATAAACGGCTTCGTACGGCTGAGCTGATTCTCTCATGGCCTCGATTGCCAAATACTTGGCTGTTTTCGTTCCGTACGTTATTGTACAAAGGCGATAGTGCTTCAACGGCTGATCGGGTTCTTCACGGAAGACGATACGAAGATAGTCACGGTCCGCTGGATGTACCAGTACATGACGATAGAATTTGGCAACATCCGCACGGAAAGCCACACGATGTGAACGGAACCGCAACGAAACAGTGAAGATATCAGCGTTATTGTTTGGTCCGGCCAACAATCTGTCATTGAGCGAAACTCCAGATGATGACACACAAGACGCGTCAAAAATAACGCAGTTTTGTTGTTGAGCTGTCTTCCTTGATTACGGCGTGGTGCGGCAAATAGTAGCACTCACCGCTAACCTTCTGAACTTCGGCTACCGGAACCTCCTCCATATGTCCGAGCTCCAAATATTCACGCATGAAGTTAGCGTATTGATTCTTGAACTCCGGATCCAGATGAAATCGCCTTTCGATACATGTGAGTCGTTTCTTGGCCACAGCGAAAGAATCGCCAAGCGCTGGCTTCGAATTATCAAAGGGTAGTTTGACAATGAAGCGTCCAGTATCATCTCGTGTCAGGGTTGAACTGAAATAATCAGTAACCAGTTGCTCAGAAGGAGTAAGCGATGGTGGCTTGAACATTTCCTCCTGTTCCCAAAATTGCTGCAAGGTGCGGTTCAAATCTATTTCGACGTGCAGGCTGAGAATTGCGTGGTTGCATTGAATGATAGCTGCAGCGTCGTAGCGGCCTGCTACGATCCATCCGAAAATCGTCCGTTGGGCTCTCGTTTTTGACTTGATCTCCCTCCAAGAGTGCAAGAAAAACGTCTGCTCCCAGAATGATGTATATCACGCCTGGTTGATTGAATTCCGGACCCGTCCAGTTAATTTAGAAGCTTCATGTTATCCACATCGAACGGCTGAGACGGTATTGTGGTAGTCAGTTTGCCAAGAACGTAGGCCTCAATGCTCAAGACTAGGGTGTCCTTGAACCGAGATGCAAGGCGCAATGTCACCACACCGCGTGTCGTTCCGACCTCTTGTTGACCCAGACCGTTGACTACTAGCTTGCCGTTCCGTCGTGGTAGTTGCAATTTCCGGACACAGGATTCTGTCACCAACGACGCTTGAGAACCGGAATCGATGAGAGCTCTCGCTGTCATAAAATCGCCATCCACCTTTTGTACCTTGAAAACAGCCGTTGGCAGCAACGGGATAGATTTTTGCTTGTTCTCCGGAACTTCCGCCGCCAGCGAGACAATGGCACTTTCTTCCTTTGCAGGGGCCACCGCCGAATCTTCTTGCTGTTCTGCTTCCGGTTGTTCAGCCTTCTTCACCACAGGACACAGCAGCGTATGGTGCCGTTGCTTGCAGTCGGAGTTGTGGCACACAGACTTCGACGTACACGACTTCACCGAATGGAATGGCCGTAAGCAATTGAAACACAGTTTGGCCTTTTGCACTAGTTCACGTCTGTCCTTTACACTCATATTTTTGAATTCTTCACACTGATACGTATTGTGCTCATTGGAGCACTTCGCGCACTTTTTGTCCGTTGTTGAAGTATACAGCATCTTCAGCTTCGTCGAGATTGGCATCGATCTTTGTACTTCCTTCTTCGGTTCATTCACTGGTTTCTTAACGAACGCAGAACAAGTTTCGATCACCTCACAGCGCTTTTTGAGAAACAACAGCAGTTCCTCGAATGTTGGGTTCTCAATCTCCACTACTTCTTGAGACCAACTGGCTCGTGTGTCCAGGATGAGATAGAATTAGCCACGGATCTCGGCTTTTGAACTCCTGCCCCAAAGCATCCAGCTGTTGCACAATCTCGTCCGATGTTGTAACTAGTCTGCTCAACGACTGCGGCGATGCTGGAGTTACGGCCGGTTGGGCCATGAATTCGTGAACCAACGAGAACACTGTGAAACGCTTTTTATCGTAGTGGTTGACCAGTGTCTCCCACGCTTTATCGTAATTCACACCCGAGATAGGGAACTTGTTGACTAAACCTTTGGCGTCTCCATCCAGATAGGAAAAGAGGTATTGCATTTTCAGCGCATCTGTAATGTCAGCCCGATTGTGGATTGTTGACACGTAGAGGTCCACTGTTTACGTTCACCATTGAATGGCTGAATCTGGATGGCAGGCAACCGAACATTCAACTGGGGTGCACCATTCGACACCTGTTCTCCGTCGGGAAGTTTGATTGCAGCAATCGGAAACTTCGACAGATTTTCGACGGTTTTTGCTGTCATCGCCTGATCCAACAATAGCTTCCTCTGCGTCTCGATGAGCAGATGAAGTGCCTCCTTCCAATTGGCCGTATTGGCAACAGTTTGCTGACTCACGGAAGATCCAACCTCATCCAGATGGCTTTCGAAAATATCCTCCACTCTGTAGAACATTCCGAAAAACTCCTCCCTGACCGGTGGCTACTGGGTCCTCCTGTTTCTCCTCGATGGAGCTCTGCGTTTCCCGAAAACTAGCAGCAAGCTCGTTTAGCTGATTCAGTCGGTCCCTAACCTCACTTTGGGACGGATTCCGCTCTTTGATGTTGTCCGCGACTGAAAGCTCTACCTTGATTTGAGCCATGAGGACGTTCCTCCGGCTAATCAGCTTTTGTAGGTCCGACATTATCCGGTTAGAAGGACCAATGTTTGGGTAATAGCGAACTGTACTTTTGCGGATTTAAAACTTGGACTGCCCTTCGGAAATCGAAAATAATATACTTATTTTTTTTACTAAAATTTCAAAAACACGTTTATTCTTCTGGACGAATGAAACAAACTAAATTCATTTGACATTTCAAATTGTTTTTCCGGAAATAGAAAATTGGTTCAACCCGAAGGTAAAAATACGGCGCTCGCAAAGTCGGGGGTGCTTCGATACTGGAACAGGGGCCATGTCACCGATGTGAATATTCACACCATCCATAATACACCAGGGAAGGGGAGAGGAGTGCATCACAGCATCTTTACCCATGGGGGTTAAAAAAAGTTCTGCGTGAACCAGCTGCTCAGGGATTGTATAAAAGAAAAGGGTTGGGTAGGTTTAAAATGCAGAATTAGATGCCGTCGCGATTGAATGCGCATGTTTAAACCACGTTGATCCAGGTACCTATCATATAAATTTGCATATCATCTAGTTATGATTATTGATTCTGATTTCGATAAAGATGCTGCTACCTATTTTACTTTTTATGTGATATCCATCATTACAGAATCCAACCTTGACTCGCAGACCAGGTCCACTTACAAAACACTCGTTCCGCGAAAGGGCTTATGGTTATCTTCTTCTTCTTCAGGTGCGCTCACCATCCGGAATGAAGGCTCGGTGCGGTTAGTAATATCAAAGAGTGTTACATGCAAACGATAAAGAGATATAACCAAGATTAGTTTTTGAAGTTTCTTCCCCCGTAGCAGCTTTTAAAAAATGACAAGTATTTTTTTTCGGATAATAAATGCTTTTCAAGATTTCTTTCCTATACCTCAACGTGCAAAATTTTAAGACCGTCATCATTTTTCTATTTTTTCCTATTCGCCACGAGCGCTATCGTTAGATCGCAAATCAAAGTTGGCACTTGTGGAGAATAGAAGAACTATGAGAGTGCACACACATCATGATGATGGTTCCAAAATTGTCTACGGGGAAGTATACGAGTGCAATCTTAAAATGCTTTTATTTTGTGAATGGAGCATTTTATTTAAATCTGGTTAGTGTTACGTTAGTAGAAAACATAAGGACTACTCAATAGACATATAATACAGAAACATAATTTCTTTTCAGATTTTTAGATGTAAACATAGACTTCAGCTTTTCTACCGCTGTAGCAGCAACCAGATTTGAATAAAATGCTCCATTTGCAAAATAAAAGCATTTTAAGATTGCACTCGTATACTTCCCCGTGGAAAATTTTGAAACCATCATCACTTTCATAGTTCTTCTATTCTCCACGAGTGCCAACTTTGATTTGCCAATAAGATATTAGTATGTTCAGCTGTAGAAGGCAACCTACCCGATGTGCGGGATCTCCTATAGATCCGGCACATCGATACCTACCTACCTACCTACCTACACCTAGAACTATCAACAACACATGGAGAACTTGTTTTCATTCCAGCACTATCACACAACACGTTCCCATGTAGGCCATTGCAACCCTAATAAAAAAATCCATAAACGAACGATAACCCCACTGAAAGAAGTATTCCACAAACGGTTTGGATGATACCCCGAACACGACGTTAAGCAAAATAACCCTAACATTTTTATTAGGGAATGGAAGAGCGGAGCAATCCACCAGCGATAACCGCATGTTTGATGGTACTGGTAGAGGATATTCCACACACAGTGTGACATGGAACCTCGTTCGTTCGTAGTAGGTACATCAATCTATTCGCTTCGTTCCACTTATATCAATTCAGATGCTCATAGAGTGCGCACATGGTTGCAGGATTTAAATTGAAGTGTCTTCCTTTCGGTTTCCTCATATTCGATTCCGACGCGTTACTAACAAAGTTAATTCTCTCGAATCAAGTGAATCTTTGTGATCGGATTGTGTGAGCCGCCGTGTTTCGTGTAACAATCATCTTACCTATTGGATGCGAAATAGGTCGGCAATCTCAGCTTCTGTGGTGATCTGCTAATCTGCGAATAGTGACAAACATGAGTGCTACCTTGAAGAATGTCCTTGTGGTAGGAGGCGGAGGTCGTGAACATGCCATTTGCTGGAAGCTAGCTCAGAGCCCAAAAGTGGCCAATGTGTACGCTCTGCCCGGTAGTCCCGGAATCGGACAGTTGGATAAAGTGACCCTCGTCAGCGACATCAGTGTGAAGAATCTCGATGTTAGTATTGGAAACATGAACCACCGGCATCTAACCCTTTAGTTCCGATTGCTGAAAAAATAAATCGTGTATGTTTTTGTAAAACATGCAAAAATTAAAAATCTTGAAAAATATTATTCCTCTTGAAATGACGAGCATACGAACTAAAGGGTCCGGTTGATTACAGGCTTCCGAGTGCGATAATGGAGTGAGTTGTTATTGAGTGCGATCAATACGTTTTGTTTTTGTTGTTAGGCGGTAGTTACTTGGTGCAAAAGCAATTCGATCCATTTGGTTGCGGTGGGACCTGAAGATCCGTTAGCTCATGGCATCGGCGATAAGCTGCAGGCAGCGGGAGTCAAATGCTTCGGACCGAGCATGAAGGGGGCGCAGATTGAAGCGAACAAGAACTGGTCTAAGGATTTCATGCACCGCCACGGAATTCCGACGGCTCGTTACTCGGCCTTCACCAAGGCGGATGATGCAAAGGCATTCATTGGAAGGTTTGTTGGGATTACCTATTAATAGTGGTGCAGGGATGGTATCGAATCAACAGGAGGAATGGTACACAGATTGCATTGAAACCATCTAAATAAAACTGCAGGAATTTTGCTGCCGGATGGTCAGTTAGGCGGACGTGGGGTTGAGATGAGGTACGTCTCTTAACCACACAGATCGACATTTAACTTGATTGAAATATGTGTAGTTCCTTGTTCAGATTACAGAGTTATAACATGTTATAATGACTATTGACAAGAAACATTTCATGTTATAGCAGCTATATACTTAGAAGAGGTAAAATCCAAATGCTTGAAGCAATTCGACTAAGATTTAAATTTTCTATGATTTTTAAAGGTGGGTCACCTCACATTTTTTGCGTTTTTTTTTAATCGTTCACCGAAAATAGTTTTCATGTAGCTTCCATTGAAATCGCAAAAGATTTTCATCCATAAACAAAACTAATGGAATTCATCTGCATTTCACATAACATTTATGCGATCATGTTAATTTTATATGATTTTTCATATGAATTTCATCGGTCTCATAAAATTCATGTGATGGCGAGTGGGTGAAAATGGTAATGACGTTTTGATAGTTTAGTACATAATTATTTTTGTAATTGCGGATCTTAAAACTAGATGTCGCATGAACAGTTTTGGCTTTGCTTTGATTCACCAATAATATACGCCTAAATTTCAGTTTGAACGAAAAAAAGTGCGATTTTATCGTATAAACCAAGCTACAAAACTATGTTATATGTTATGATCTAGCGCAGACTTGCGCAAGGTATAAAGATTTTGAAAAGAAAGATTGAGTTTTTTTATACATGTAGTCAGGGCTCTACTATTTCGAAGCTCTAAAATGAACTCGAGTTTTGTTTTTCTCATACAAATGTGTTCAACGCTTCATTTCTATAACGCCTAGCTTGACTATCAGCAAGAAACGAAAATGAAAAAGAAGCACACTTACAAGGAAAGCGAAGACAACAAATCAAGAAGACTGGCAACTTTGCTAAAATTCAAGCGACATATACAGTAGCGCTGCGCTTGAGTGAAGGTGGAAGCAACGCATAGAAAAATGAGCAAATACACAAACCCTTCTTCTGAGGATGTAATCTTTGCTATCAAATTCGTTCGAAGCATTTACCTTTGAGCGGCAGATGACGCGATTGTACCTGTCTCATAGCGTTCGTATGAGAAAATGAAAGAGTTGCCAGTCTTCTTGATTTGTTGTCTTCGAGGAAAGGCTGGCTGTGGATCTTCTCGTCGTTGCTTTGCTCATCGCTTTCAATGTAAGTAAGGTCGATTTTCTAGCTAAACGAAACCTCATTATGACTTTCAATCCCTTTCACGAACACTCTATCACAGCTGCTAGTAGCATTCGCCATGAAAACAGTTCTATGTCTGTAATTTTTTTTAGCATCAGATCTATATTTTTTGAGCATTAAAACTTTCACTGGCACCTCAACAATCTCCTTTTTATACCTGTGCCATTTTTTAATTAGAGAAAATTTCGATTAAAACTATTTACCCAGAATCTGGGTACATTCTACTCATCAGAACAAAACTAGTTTACCAAGATTTTGACAACTCCTTACCGGATACAAGAATGCGTGCCATCCACCCAGTCACAGGGTGGATTCAGAATTCTTCCTGCATGAACCATTTGTCTTGGTCTTGTCTTTGGGGATTTGTTAATATTCTTCGATTATTTTCAAGCTTGCACTTTGTGGAAATTTGATGTATTATGGATTTAGTTTTAATAAATTTCAGATTATTTATCTTTTTAATCTTTAATTGGGGTATGGTCTAACAACAAGATAGTAGAAAAATGATTCTACCAAAAGAACTGCAAGATGCGGGAAATTTACAAATCATAGGACTAAGACACTTTTGAAGGTATCAAGCTCATTTTATAAGTTCCGAAGTGAATATTTTTTATTTGACAAACCTTCTAGAAATTTGTGAGATAAATAGATAAAGGGAAATATTGAGCACAAGAGAAACTTAAATCAATGCTGACTAATATAAGCTGAAATGATAATCGTAAGACGGACTAAAAACCTATAGATCCCCTGTGCTACCGTGGGAAGGAAAGGCTCATAGAGCTTAAACGTAAAAAATACAGTACTATAGTGTGAAATTAAAAAAAAAACGATGGAAAAGAATTGCAGATTCCCAACGATTTGTTTATATTGTTGATAATTATTATAGCTTCTTCTTCTTCTTCTTCTTCTTCGCATTTCAAGCTTATTGCATATCGCTATTAGCTTATTGCGTGCTCTCAACTTAGTGTTCTTGATGCACTTCCACAGTTATTAATTAAGAGCTTTCGATGCCTGTACCATTTTTGCATTGATATGATTGTGTGGCAAGTCTAGTCATACTTATATGCCCAGGGAAGTCGAGAAAGTTTCCAACCCGAAAAATTCCTAGACCGGACCGGGAATCGAACCCAGCCACCTCCAGCATGGTCTTGCTTTGTAGCTGCGGCTTTACCGACTGAGCTAAGGGAGGCCCCAATTATTATAGCTTATTGTCTACTAATTTTTCTTAATAAAATTCCATGAGTTTTCCAGGTTTTTCCGAATGTTTCTACAATAAAGTACAATAGCTTCATTAACCTATGATCCTAGTTTCACGCATTTTTCAAAAATACAATCCAAATGTATAATGGAAATATTTTAAATTGAGATAGAAACTCTGATAGGTATTATTGACTAGTGTAAATGAAAAAAATGATTTTGAAAAATATCACATCTTTAGAAAACTATTTTAATTCACTTTGCAATGCTCATTACATTATTAATCATTCTTGCTAGGAATTGCGTGAAGAATTCTCCTGAAAATTCACTTGGAGTTCACCTCAGAATTTACTTAATATTATCCTGAAATTCCCATGGAATTATCTTATGAATATTTTTTTAGAACTTCTGCTAGGAAATCCCAAAAATTCTGCTGGGATTCTCCTTTGAATTATCTGAAAATACTCCTTGAAATCCACTTGAAATTTAGCTTAGAATTTTCTACGGATATTCCTAAGAAAAATTTCTCATTGAATATATTTTGCAATTACCGTTGAATATTGCCCCTTTCCTTGGAATTCAACTCACAACTATGAGATTCTCACCTAAACAATAACTTGCAGTTCTTTTTAGATTTCTCCACAAAATTTGTCAGAACCATCTTGGAATTTTTAACCGAATTCATTTGAGGTTCGATAGGAATTATACTCATATTTAATTGTAATCCTCCATAATATACCCTCTATGAATTCTCCGAAAACTCACATGAACATATACTCCGAATTCCTTTTGTCCCAGAATCTTCTTTAAATTATGCTCAGAATGTCCTTATATTTCTCTTTCGTTTTATCTTAAAGTTCTCCTCAGAATGATCATGGTGTAATCCTCCTTCTCGTTCAAGTTTTGTCATAATTCCTTAAGAATTAACGTCAAAAGCTGTTATGAATTTTCATTAAAATTTGTATTGAATCCTTTCCAATGTTGCCTTGGAATTCTACTCAGAATTACCTACAAAATTAGAGTTCTAGGACATTGACGAAAATGATCCAAGGGTTAAATTTTGTGGACATTGACAAGAATAAAAATTTAAACTCATCAGGTACATGGACTTGGTGAAATTTTAGAGATGAGGGTTCAAATTTAACTTAAACCAATCAGTAGATTAACTATATATAAAACCAAAAGCTACTTATTGATGAAGTGTTTGATTTTAGTTACAATAAGGTTCTTATACTTATTGTAACGAAATAAGTATTTTACATTAGAATTTGAGACTATTCAGTTTAGGTAACAATTTAAATTCAAACTTGCCGTATTTAAAGTTCCAGAGAAGCTTTAGAGCTTAACAGGATTATATTTAAGTTCAAGCATTTCTTTCAAAAGAATTTCCCCTTACAGTTCTTAAACAAAATTCTTCTAAAATAAATTCGAGTCTATCTCTGGGAGTGCCTTGAATTTTCTTAATAACAGTGCAGAAATTCTCTGCAGAACACTAAAAAATTATGAAATTCGTCCTTAGATTCTCTTTGAATTATAAACTTGTTTAAAGAATTCATCTCCTTAGAAATTCCCATGCTGTTCACTTCTGAGTTCTCATAATTATTTTTATCTGAATTGTCTTGGAGTTCTCCTCTAAGTTCTACTGAAAATTCACATGGAGTTCTCCTTAATTTTATCTGGAAATGCTTTCCAAGAAGTTCCTAGTCCAAGTTGTACCCAAGAAATTGTTCACATGGCTACTTAAAAAAGACACTGATTTCACACAATTTACTTGGAGCTCTAGTCATAACCCTTCGTATAGTTCATCCCTCATCCCAAAACTCCCTAGAACTTTTTGTCCGAAGTACATTAGTATTACATATCTCTAACTTCTATTCCAATATCTGTTCAAAACTGCTTTGGATAGTTCTTCAAAGTAACTCTATCCTGAAAAACTAGTCTTGAGATTTTTTAAAGAGAGGAAGAAGCACATTTTTTTTTCTTCAATTTGGCATTGAAGTTCACGAGTTTATCCCGGTGACATCGAATTTCCGGCATTTTCCGGTTATCCCGATTTCCCGGTCACCTTTTTCGTTCGTTAGTATAATGAACTTCCAACTAAGAATTAAGCATACTGTAGCACTGTAACAATTTTTTAACGAATTTTACATTGCAATTCAAGCGGGAATGGCGAAAAAGTGACTTTAGTGATTTTTTGTTGAAAATAGGGACTTTTTAGTGATCACCTTCAAAAAAAAAGTGACCCGCTATCAGCCCTGCACGTGACGATTGATTCCACATTTTTTGAAGATTTCTTCGATGCTCATCAGCGAGATTTTGTTATCCTACTTCACCAACAACTCGTGGGTGACGCGTCTACGCTACGGATCTGGTGGCTCGGCACTTTTCTTTTTAGTTTCATGCTTTGGGTTCACACTACTGGATCAGCTGCATGATGCCTTTCGCGTCTGCATGAGCACTGAAACTCATGTAATTGAC